TTATTTGGAGGCATGGATCAGGAAGGTTTTATGGACGAAACGTGTTGCAGAGAAAATGCGTCGCCAGCTTATCAGCAGTATTCTCTCACTGCCACTCACACTTGCCGAGAGACTCTCTTCCTCTGACCTGGTAAAAATGTTTATGGCTGATCGGATTTATATATCCAACCACCTTCCAAAGACCCTATGCAATACTGTTTTGTTTGAGACTTTCTTGGCAGTCTCGTCAATAATCCAGGCTATAAGATTTTCGCCAACAATTCTGCTGCTGTGCTTGCCGCTAGCTGGCCTAACTGCACTGTCCAAAATACTATTCAGAGATATAGATAGGTTCCCGCGGATTCTAAACCAGTATATTGATTTTAGTAGCTTAAGTCACCCAGAAGTGATATCTCAACACAAATTGTTACTTCGGATTCACAGATGCGCCGACGTATACCTGGACCGATTAAGAACTAGTTTTTCCAGCGAAATACATTTTGGCCACATTTGTCGTGTATTGGACAGTTCGCGCAAGATGATGGCTACTGTTTGCGTTGAGATCATCCACAGCGGGATCTTGCTATTCAGTATCCGTCGTCGTCTTTACACTAGCACTCCTGTACTTCCAGGAGAGATCGAAACAATGACTTTGCTGTCCCTAAATGTATTTCATCGTGTGAACGCGCTAAATCACATTTCCGGCAAGTTTGAGAACCAAATACAGGCACTTTTGCGCTACTACATTTATACTGAGCAGCTGGAGCGCGAGGCATCGGTGGTCATTGATGGTGCAACGCTAGAACCTAGTTGGCCGCAGAATGGGGTAATTGAGTTCTGCAATTACAGCATGCGCTACCGCCCAGAGTTGGATCTGGTTCTCAAAGGGCTCAGCTTTTCAGCACGAGGCGGCGAGAAGATTGGCATTGTTGGGCGCACGGGTGCAGGCAAGAGCTCAATCACATACGCGCTGATGCGCTTGGTTGAGCCAGCCAACGGCCAGATTAGTATCGACGGCGTTGACATTTCGACCATCGGCTATCGTGACCTGCGATCACGCATTGCCATCATTCCGCAGGACCCGGCGCTGTTCAAGGGTACTATACGTGACAATCTTGATCCGGCCAACGAGTACACTGACGACGAAGTCTGGGCAGCTATCCGTGCGGGTCAAATTAGCAACCTTCTTGATACCCCAACAGAGAAGTACGTCAAGCCTCTGGATGGCAAAAATTCTGACAAGGGGCTGTGGATCGAGGGTGTTGGGCTGAACAAATGGGTGAAACACAATGGCATCAATTTTAGTGTCGGCCAGAAACAGCTCATCAGTCTTTGTAGGGCACTTCTTTGGCGGCGCAAGATTGTCATTTTAGATGAGGCGACGGCCAACGTGGATTCCAAGACTGACCAGATCATGCAAGAAGTGATTCGCCGCGAGTTTAAGGAATGCACTGTGCTGACCATTGCGCACCGGCTGGGCACTGTGATGGAGAGCGACCGCATCCTGGTGATGGACCACGGCCAGATGGCAGAGTTCGACACGCCCGAAAAGCTGCTTGCTGACAGGAACAGCCACTTCTCGCAGTTGGTCGAGAGCATGAATTTCAGCCACAGCAATTGACATTATTTTCAACGAATAAGTAATTATATTGACATCAACAGCTATTTTGCTCACACACTTTATGCTAATGACTTACCATGCACAATGTTGATACAGGTTTGACTATGTATAGAATATATTTTTTATTTATAACAATGTATAGAAAGTAAAAAAAGGTAAAAAAAAGGTTACTTGACCACTGGTGCTTGGTAACCGTTGTCAATAACTTGTCACAATAGCTTTTTATTTTCCATTTCTCTTACCATACATGATAATGCAAAAATAGATCCTCATTAATAGCCAATAATTTAATGTGAGGATATGCATCGCTATATTTATCCGAAAATCCAGCCATTTCATCCAATATTCTGACGGGAAGACGGCACGTCTTTAATGAGCCAAGTTGCACAAGCAAAATCTTCAACTCTTTCGCTACATATCTTTATTCAAAGTGCCTGTAATTATAAATAGACAGGCTTTGCAGTCTGTTAGCAAGTGAAGGCACTGGGTTTATCCAATGACTCGTATATGGAAAATGTCACGGGTTTTATATGTCGATTGCATCTGAAACACTTGATTTCCAATTCAGTAATGTTTGGCAATATTGCCAAAATATTAATTATATTATTAATGCCCATAACCAATGCCAGGTTGAGATTGCTCATACTAATGCCATCAATTGTGCATGGCTGGAGTGTAAACTGTGTTACAAAATGCTTCATAGCTTGCTTATCCACAACTGGAATGTATTCAATCAATGTATCTGGTTGGTTTTGTATAAACTTGCCATTGTAAACTTTTTTTGCCCATCTGGGACCATACGACTTGCTTACCATATATGTTGTTATTGCGCCTATGCATTATGTTTATCCATCGTGTGATATCATCATCTGAATTGTTCATACTTTTTAACGAGTTTGATGAATTGTTTTCAAATATTGTGTTTAGATCGACAGGTAAATCTACTAATATGATATTATCAAGTGCTGGAAATCGTATTATTTTCTCGCCAAATTTAAACGCAGGATGTGCGTTACAGGGTAGGCTTCAAAGTCATTATTATTTTACTTGACAAAATGCACTAATGCACTTCCAAGTCGGTCAGATTAGAAAACTTCATCATACAATTTACGCTTTGGTCATCACGTTGTGTCCACATAAAATCAGCTGGTACCTTTCTCAAGTGCAGCATTTTCAGCGCCTTGGTATCTATGCCCTAAAAGCAAAGATGAAGGAGGCATTATTTATGTCAATACCCAGTACAGTCAACGTGCTCGAAAATCCACAGGCAGGCGCATATATCTATGTTTGAATTGCAACGTAGAACTGAAAGTTGGCTTGGATATTTATTAATCAGAGTTTGGCTTGTGATAGCTGTCATTGCATTATCGTAACAATTATCAATATTTATTTTAGTAATGTGGGGAATACATTTGACAATTAGAGACATTGCACATTTAATTGCCTTTAGTGTTCTGTCCATCTCGTGAATAGTGTTGTCCATGTAACACAAATATTTGACATTGGACCAATCGTATGTCTGGGGTTGCATTATATCTTGTGTTTTTAACAAAACAACACAGTGCTGATATTGAGGGAAAATTGATTAGCAGTCGACACTGACATGGTTTGCATTGTTTGTCATAAATGCCAGTTTCATGTTGCTGCTTGCAAACGCAATGCTATTTTCACGGTCTTTGGGCTACTTGAGATGCCCGCTTGATTGTTTGTATTCAATATAGACTGTTATATACACAGCTGGTTTAGCAGGTTATCTCCAATTGCGGAAAACAGCCAGTGTTGGCAATAATAGCTTTCAATTAGTAAAGTTAGTTGAATAGTTGGTTGTATACGGAATGAGATTTATAAATACGTCGGTTGGCAGACGAGCGGCAATGGCATTAATAACAGTCACGGTAAACAATAGAATACAAATAATATAGCTGGGTGGATAAATATAGGACAATTATGTAAAATAAAAAATAAAAAATAAAGAGAAAAAAAAGTATTTGTTGGGGCTTAAAACAATGTCACTAAAAATAAAAATGTGACATTTTTGCAAAAGACAGGCAATACTTGGCATATTTGGTAGGTGGTCGCGGTTCATTTGGGCTTAAAAATAAAGATGTTTATAATTTTTTATTATTCTTCATGTATATGGGGTGCTTTCATGGTTGCCGCGCACATTGAAATTGGTTATTTAATTAAATTAGTGATTCCAAGCAAATGTTGTCTAATAATATTATGTATAATTTACTCTAAATCTAATTTTCAAGCAAAATTTATTTACTATGGTGTTATTGGCTTGAGCTCTCAATGTTTATCGGATAATTGGAAGCAAATATTATTTTATGGCTTGGCAATAACTTCATGCTTGTTTTATTCACTAAAATTTTCGATTAAAAAAACAGGTTTTTTGTTTGTGTTTCGGGCCGTATGAACAATATATACAATTTCTTCTTTTCTTTCCCCCCCCCTACCCTCAATTTCACTGCGTCAAAAAAATATTTAAAAAATTATGATAAGCGAGTATGGAAACGGCAAATGCGGCAAATAAAAAAAGCAACTTGTTCAATTATTTCCATGCGTATCGAGCTCCGCTACACATGTGGTATCCTATTGTAGTATATAGGATCATTATTTTCGGGACAAAAGAATAAACACATGAGAATAAGACAATGTTTTTTTCTGGTGAATATTTTATTTTATTTCTCAATGTGCTGTGAAATATAAATAATATACAAGGTGGGGGGGGGGGCAGAATGCATCCTAGGAATTTCACAAATAAAAAATGGTAATTGTGAATTTTTTTCTTTCATCTTTCAAACTTTTTTTTTGCGTATATAAATAATGGCCTTTAATATGTTGTCAGAGCAATGTACACATAATCCACACCCGTACATTGTGGCTAGATGCCCGATGTGCCTAGAAGTGATGAAGTTTTTGGACGAAAGGCATTATCGTTGGCACATAGCCAATTGCAGCGAATAAAAAAAGAGGTGTTGTTGTTGGGAGGAACAAGAACAAGTACAATGACGGATATAAATTGAGCGGAATATTTTGAGTTGGTTATTGATAACTAAATACGACAATACTGACTCGAACGATCTAGGAGTTTTTTTTTTATAAATAACATTTAAAATTTTTTGAATAAATAAAACAATATTTGGGCCGGGTCCAAATAAAAAATAAGCGAGTAATGCTGAGATGAAGTTGAAGTGTTTTTTAATGTTATCTGCTGATTTTGCACAATAAAAATAAAAAATACAATCACACAATCAGGAACTTTTGCAATAAACCCCATAAAGCAATAATTTGTACAAAAATTGCGCACCAACAAAAAAAAAACCTTACCAGAATCGCCCCTCAGAGTTCATTTCATATTCCATATTCATTTTTTCTCTCTCTTTATATTCAATTAATGTTATCGGCAATTCAATACCTGCGCAAAAACAAATTTCTTGTGATTGGGCTTATCGTAACTCCCTTGGGTCTATACAGTGGGATAAGGCTCAAGGAGTGGCGGACAGAGAATAAAATCAACACAATCAAGCAGCAGGTCAACATGGTCCAGCAGCAGCAGCAAGAGCAGTTGTTGGATCCTGAGAGGGATTTGCGAATTGAGTTGCAGAATTTGCGTGCAGCTAGGGCTTCACTTTTGCGTCAGGAGCATGGGCTAGGTATGGAGCTGGATTCGATTGGGATTAAACTGCGGAGACTAGATGAGCAGGAAGAGAAGAAAGAGATTGTTGCGGATGCAAAGAAATAGAAGCTTTGGAAAGTGATTTTTTATATTTAAATAAATATGAAAATAAATTGTAATGTATTGTATTGATGCAGCTAATGAAATGAAGGAAGATTATATGGTGAAGATGGAAAAAAGATGTTTTTCTTCTAGTTGTGGTCTTGTGTGTTGAGTGCGGGCGCTCTGCGGCGCAACGACGGCCGGTTGTCGTCATCGTCATCAATATTATCCTGAGCCACATTCACATTCACATCCTCATTGCGTTGATGATCTGGCTCAGCATAGGCAGGCAGCGGCTCCTCAAAAACAGCAGCAGCAGCAGCATCATCATCATCATCATCATCATCAGTCTCGTTCCTGGGCAAATCCTGGCCCAACCAGCGACAAAGAACAGCAGGCGCAGAAATTAAAGTTTTCCCGCCACTCTCTGGCCTCTTCGGCCATTCATCGGCCAAAAACCACAGGCAATGACCCACCCCCATCGCCACACACTCATTAACCGGCCACGCGCCCTCGACAACCAACGAAAAAGCAACCATCGCCCAAGGGAAATATGCGGCAGGTACGGTAATGAGCCCCATGAAGTTAATGAAAATATGGGCATGGTACCTAGACCAAATATAAGTCAATGCAGTGACAAACATATGGCTCAAAAAGTACGCACCAACTATTGGCCCAATGACCAACAGGGTGATTCCCAGGAGCACCATATGGTAGGCAAAGTCCGCCGGCCTTGTAAGGTAGGAGCCTTCTTCGAGGTCGCGGCAGTACTGGATGATAAAGTACATGTTGAGGAACATGTCCAGGGAGAAACGACCTAGGTAGAGGAAGGTAGTGAGAAGCCGCCAGTATTCGCCCCTGCTGAAGGTATATGTGGGTGTATAGAGGAGTTGGTGCGGGGTGAACCAGTCGAGTTGGACAGCGAGAGTGACTGCGACGATGCTGGTTAGGTAGACGCGAGTGCATATGGGGATGCGTAGGTACCAGTCTTCGAGTGGGCTGGGCATGTTTGCGAATAAGTAGATTTGAGATTGGAAAAAATAAATAATTGGAAATGCAATATTGTACAAGAGAGCGTAAATTAAAATTAGTTGTATGAACGAAAGAAAGAGGAAGAGAAAAAAAGAGCGGATGATGCGCCATGTTCTTTACAAAAAGTATAAATCGGTTAAGCCAATAGCAGACCGCAATAGAAAATAATAAATGGATCAACTGGTTATTTGGAAAAAAAAGGAGAAAAAAATTAATTCAGTTGATAAGAAGAGAAGCATAAAATAAAAGCCTTGGTTTTTTTTTTCTGTTCCGAATAGTAATCCAATTCGTTTGTTCTTTCTCGCTTGTTAAAAAAAAAAACTCGCTGGCTGGTATATATTTACATTTTGTTTTATAAACACGATCTTTGACTAGGGCTTTGAAGCGGGTGTTGACTTTTTAGAATCCACAATTGCCTTTTTAGAACGTTGAATAGAATGCTGGTGTTGAGAAACGCGCTGGCTCGCAGAGGCGGGCTCCGGCGACCGCCCAGTGTCGCAGCACAGATAACACAACGCGCAGGATCAAAGCAGCAGAGTCAAAATATGAGCCAGAGCCGGAGCCAGAGCCGGAGCCAGATTCGGATGCAGGCCAGGGCCAACACAACGACCACACCCTCAGTTAGAGCACTCAGCACAGACACGCACACGCACACGCACACGCACACACACACGCAGCAGCAGGCGCAGCAGCAGCAGCAGCAGGCGCTCCGCGCACAAGCGCTCTCCGCGCTCGACACAAGCATCTCGTCCGGCGATCTCAGCACCACGTACCGGATCGCCAGCGCCATGCGCGCCGAGGGGCTCCTGCAGCAGTCGCCGGGCAACAGGCGGACAACGCACGTGATCCAAGACACCGCGGTGGCGCTGCGGCTCGCGCGTGCGATCGCGCAGCACGGCGTCTGGGAAGAATGCCTGGCGCTGGTCAACCTCCTGACCGAGCTGCAGCTGGACATCCTGGGCGTGCAGCTGACGGACCGGCGGTTCGCGCGGACCGGGCGCGCAGCCAAGCACGTCAGCGGCCACGTTGTGCGCGCGCTTGTCGCAGCTGTGCTGGCGCCGCAGTTTGCCGGCCCGCTGGACCGGCGCCTGGCCGGGCTGACTGCCAAGCAGGTGCTGGCGGACTACGCCGGCGCCGGGTCCGGGGCCGGTGCCGGGTCCGGGTCTGGCTCGGGGCTGAGGCAGCTGCGGCTGCGCGCCGAGGGGTTTGTGTCGCGCGGGCGCGCGCTCGCCCGGCTCGCGAAGGCCGACGGCATGCGGGCGCTGAGCGCAGCGGAGGCTGGCGAGCTGGCGCTGGCGCACGCGCGGTGCCTTGATCTCGAGTCGGCGCAGGGCCAGATCGCGCAGTGCGGTGACCGGGACGAGGCGCTCGCCGCGCTGGCGCTGTGCCTGGCGGAGCACGGGCGGCTGGGCGAGGCGCAGGACGCGATTGCGCAGATGGAGCGCGGCGGCGTGACCGTGTGGTCGGCGCGCGCGCGGCTGTGGGTGGTCCAGGCCAGCGCGCTGGCGGTGACGCCGCGGCTGGCGTTCTCGGCCGCGTACCACTCGCCGGCGTCGGCGCACCTCAGCCGCCCGTACGCGCGCGGCTTCCGCCAGCTGGTGCGCCGGCTGATGGGCGAGTCGGCGGCGCGCATCGAGCAGGCGTTCGCTGCGCCCGCGGAGCGCGAGCGGCTGGGCGTCGACCGGCTGCTCTTCGCCGCCGGCTGCGCCGTGCATGCCATGGGCGGCGCCGATCAGATCCACCCGGGTGCGCTGGTCGCCGGGCTGCACGTGCAGCTGGCCGCGGCCGCGCAGCGGCTCATGCGCAGCGGCACCGGCGCCGAGTCGCCGGCGGCGCGCGCGCTGGCGCTGGGCGCGCGCCAGCCCCTGCGGCTGTTCCTCTGGGCGGTGCTCTTCGGCAGCTCGCTGGGCGCCGCGGCCAAGCGGCGGCTGATGCTCGACGCGCTGCGCCACGCATCGGCCAGCGTCCCGGGGTTCGCGCCGGGCGTGGCCGAGCTGGAGCCGGCGCTCGTGTGCGCGCTGCCGCCGGGCGTGTGGGCGCAGGCGCGGCGCGGCAACTTCGCCGACGACGCGGCCTTCGACGTGCCGGACGCGCTGCTGGCGTCGCCGGAGCGCCACGCGGCCGGCCCCGACACGGACGCGATCCGCGACTGGGCGCTGCGCGCGTCCCTGGCGCCGCTGGCCGATGCGCGGCTCGTGGTGCTGGCCGCGTGGCTGGCGGCGCTGCGCGGCGACGGCGACCAGGCGCTGGCGCTTGCGCAGCGCGCGGCCGTTGCGCCCGTCAGCCTTGTGCCCGGGGCGCTGGCGCTGGCCAAGGCGCAGACGCCCGAGACGCGCACCTCGCTGCTCACAGCACTGTCCACCTTCAAGCGCGGCGCCGATGCGGCCGTCGCCCACACGGCGCTGCGCGCCCACATGGCGCCTGCCGAGGCCTGCGCGCTGCTGCGCTGCTGCGCGACGTCGCGCAACGCCGCCGTGGCGCGCGACATCCACCGGATGGTGCCAGGCAGCAGGAAGGCCGATGAGCTGTACCTGCGCGCCTGCGTGAGGGCCGGCCAGGTTGCGCTGGCACTGCCTGTGTTCCGGCGCCTGGCGTATGGCGCGCCAACGTCGTGGCCGGCCGAGCCAACGGTGGCCGTGGTGCTGGCGCACTTGGCCGACGCGCGCGTGTCGGTGGCTGGCGCCGAGCACGTGTTTGGCGTCTGGGTCGAGGCCGCGGACTTCCACGGCCGCGCTAGCCCGGCGCTGCTCGCGCAGGTGGCTGCCGCCGGGTGGACGCGCGAGGCCGGCCACGTGGCGAACGCCTTTGCGCCGGAGCCGCGCGGCACAACGGTGTCGCAGGCGCTCGAGGCCGCCGGCGCCGTGCGCGCGCCGTCCGGGGCCAACGCCAGCGTGCAGTTTCTGCGTGTCTGGGAGCTGCACATGGTTGTACTTCTGGTGTGCGCGTATGTGCAGGCCGGGCTGGGCGACCGCGCGGCACGGTGGGAAACGTGGCTGCTGGCGTGTGTGGCGGATGGGCGTGTGCCGCTGAGTCCCGAGATTGTCGCTCGGCTGGGCTCGGCTCAGCGACGGCATTTGGCGCGCAGGTCGGAGGATGGGCTGCGCGCCTGCCTGCGCTACTTGGTCGCGGCGGATCGCGCGGCTGCGTACCGGCTGTTGGACAACCCGGCGATGCGGCGTAATGCCATGCCGGCGCTTTCGATGCTGAGACAGAGGCTGGTGTGCTCCGGGCGCGAGGCTGAATTGGCACGCAGCTATTTGCGCGATCTTGGCGCCGAGTACTTGTATGGGCGGATAATTGATTTGCAATGATTTTTTTATTGGTTAGTGTTAAACAAAACAAAAAGAGAAAAAAAGGCGTGGCAATCGCCAGAAATGACGAGTCCAATAAATCTTTATTAAAACAAAAGCTGAGGAGGCCTCCTAGTGAAGTGAGCCCTCCCTGCTGCCATTTTATAGGCAGAGGAGAGGGCTACAATGACTGAATGCTATCTCAGCCGCTACTGCATCAATGCTATCTCAGCCGCCACTGCATCGATGCGCGCTCGGCATTGACTAAGCTCGCAAGCGCTCGGCTCAGCTGAGCTTATGGCCTATGTGGTGATGCTTACCACAAAAGTAGCCAAAAGGCACATCCATCACAAATCGCCCTTGCTCGCTGGATCACGCCGACAGCTAATTGGCAATACGTAAAACAGAGTATGAAAGCAAGATTGAAGATATTACCCTGAGAACGCGCCTAGTTCTTGTGCCAGCCCGCGCAAAGTCCCCCTGTGTTTTTCCAGCACACCATCCTTTAGTCGAATGTCCTGCTGCAATAGGCGGATTTCATTGTGTAGTTGCTCTTGTGCTGTTGTGGCGAGCTCAGGTGTTTGCTCGATTCGCGCCTTGAGCTCCACCAGCTGCTTGTGCACATTGCTCACGGAGCTGCTAAAGGCCTGTGCTCGTTGATGCGCCGATTGGCCATGTGTGCTTGTACCGGCCATGTTGTTGGTGGCTTGGGGGAAGAGCTGACGTAGGGATGTGCCGACGGAGGACTCGAGAGTGTCGAATAATGAATTCATAATAGCGAATTCATAAAAGTTGGATTATTGTTTTTTATATATATATATATATTGGAATGAAAGAAGAAAGAAAGAAATAGGATATGATTATCTTTTCTTTTCTTTTCTTTTCTTTTGCGCCATTTGCACGCGTACCACAAGGAATTAGAAAATTTTCACTATATTTTTTATTTGAACGCGTTTCTTTTCTTCTTTCTTTTTTCTCATTTAAACAAATCTTTTTCTCAATTCATTTAATTTCAGTATTTTTTCATTCAGCCAATGTCAAAGGGCAAACAACCAGATACCGGCAGCTCCTCCACCCTGGACTCCGTCATGCCAGTCATCTCCAGCCTCCTAGACCAAGGCACCCGTGCCTTTGCACTCTCCGACTGGCCCCAAGCCATTGATTCCTTTGGAGAAATGTCTCAAATCACCGAGCAGGTCTTTGGTCCCGAGTCCCCACGCTACGCCGATGCCCTTGTCATGTACGGGCGCGCACTGCTTCAAAACGCCATTGAGCAAACTGCCCTGATGGCCCAAAAAACCTTGGCTCAAGCGGTTACTGGACAAACCTTTTCCGACAACGAACAGGAGGAGAGTGAGGATGACAATAGGGAGCTGGGGAGTAGCAGTAAAGGCGGAAGGATTGCGTTTGAGGGTGAGCCGGATTTCCGCCAACTGAATAACCCCGAGGGTCAAGAGGAAGAAGAACAGGAGGATGGTGACGAGGGAGAAGGAGAAGGAGAGGGAGAGGGGGAGGATGATGATTTTAGTGCTGCTTGGGATGTCCTTGATACTGCGCGACTGATCCAATCAAAACAAACAGACAGGAAATCCCAACTGAAGTACGCCGAAACCCTAATGCTCCTCGGCGACGTCTCTATGGAATCAGAAAACTTTCCTCAAGCCCAACAGGACTTTACCGCAGCACTCCACGTCAAACGGCTTTACCTTGAGGCCGATGATCGCGAATTAGCCGAGCTCCACTACAAGGTTGCTTTGGCCTTGGAGTACAACGAGGATACGGAGGGTGCATTGGTGGAGATGGCGGAGGTGGAGAAGATTTTAGCAAGGAGATTGGACGTTGCAGAGTTGGAGGAGCAGGAGGGGCTGAGGGAGGTTTTGGAGGATGTGAGGGTGAAGATTGAGGAGTGGCGGAACCCGGTAAAGCAGCAGGACGATGTGGTGTTGGATGACGAGATGAAGGAAAAAGCCAGGGCTGCGTTTTTGGTCGCTGTGGAGGGCGGAAAGGTCAATGACTTGACTGCTTTGGTGAAGAAGAAGAAGAATGGTGATGGCAAAAGAAAGTGTCTTGAGGACGACGCCGGCAGCAATGAGGATACCGAGTCTTGTGCCAAAAAATTGAAGGATTGAATTAAAAAAATTTACTCTCTTTTTTAATGAGTAAATGCTGGGTTTAAAATAAAAAGACGTGTATTCTATATAAAAAAGTGAACGCAAAACATATTTTTTGTTTATTAATATATTGTAAGTGGAGTGGAGTAAAAGACATTTAGCTTTGTACATTTTTTTGCTGTTTAAACCGAGTATTTACTTGTTATTTTTTAGTGTATCTATGCAAAATGAAATAAATAGTTAAACAGCGTTTAATCTAAAATAATTTTATACTGAACATTTATATAAATTAATGGTGTGTTATGTAAGAGGGGGTGGGGGAGCACTACTGTAATAGTGTTAGAAAGTGGGTGTAAAATTATAAATAGTTTTATTACTAGTGTTTCTAAAGTGCTATTATTGCCGGCCTCGCCTTATATATATCTCCTTGTCTTTGTGGCACCCACTGGCAGTTGTGTGCTCCGTTCGCGAGAACTGGTCCTTATGAAAGTAACCTGGGTTTCTGATACGGCATAATTGGCATGTCTGTATTCTTGCGCCCAGCACATCTATTTCGAGACAGACAGTATGTCTGGATGTCAACAGTGGCGTCTGATTTAGTCCCCTGTAATTTGGTCAGTATCAGATCCATCAGTAAGCTGACGAGAATCTGTCTCATGATTTTCGCCCTCAGCATCTACCCCCATATCCTCGGGCTGCGTAACAGGTGTTTGCCCACTTCTCCGTTTTTTATTTTGTTTTTTACTTTTAATTTTAGGTTTAATTTTAGGCTTAATTATATTTTCAATTCATACCATTATCAACATATTTGTCCATACTTATACACACCCAGTCAAAAAAGGTTTAAAAACACACCCAGTCAATCAAAACATAAAGCAGCAGCAGCAGCAGTAGTAGAAATGTCCAATAAAGCAAATAAAAATAGCCTTACCTTTAATGACCTTGACCTTGATTATTAATTTTACCAAACCGCAGAAAAGGCATATCTCTAAAAGTCATTGAATTAGATCAGAATTCAAAAATCAAAGATTTAAATAAAATCGCTCTTGGGATAATACAAAAAGTATTAAACATGGATGAAATTGTAAAAGGAAAATTAAATCTGAATTACTATTGTTGCACAGACTAAAGATATCGAAGTGGATATTGAGGTTGAGAATCGCGAAACAGGTTTCCACCTGCGTGCCGATTGATAGGACGCTAATTGGATCATGCAGGCGTAAATTAGGGAGGCATTACATTGATGCCCAAACATGCTCCCCATTTTGCAATGCACACGCATGAGCGCACACACGCGAAAATAACAACATTGACTTGCCAAGATACCGGTCTGCTCGCAGAAGATCCAGTTCTCACCAACGGAGCGCACAATTGGCAATGTGCACAACAAAGGCGACGAGGCACATATATAAGACGAGGCCGGCCCTAGTAGAACTTTAGAAACATAAGTAATAAAACCTTTTATAAAATCACCCCTAACTTTTAACACTAGACAACTAGTGCTCCTTACGCCCCCCTCTTACTATAACACTGCTTACTATTCGTTTAATAAAATTTATTTATAACTGTTTTGAATTTATTGATAGTTTAATATTAAATCAACAGATTATAACAAAAACTATAATATAAATCCTGAGTGTGGGTGTACTGAATAGATTGAACTAAAATAACTAAAGTTTTGAAAATGTCTGATAAGGAGCTAAAAGAGGCAGCGCTGTATGGATAGCGCTGTGAATGTCTTGTTAACATTTGATGTTAGACAACAATGTCAGGCATAGGTATCGCAGCGTTGGTGGCAATATTGCCCGTGGTAACCCTTGAAGATGGAAAGAGGGAATACCGCATGTGGGTCGACTACCGCATATAAAACATTGACTAAATTTAAAATAACCTGGTAGCAATTTGTATCTTGTATCCCCTACTTGAGTTGGGCTTCATTTGATAATCGGTTAATCAAAATGAATAATAAAATTAATGGATTTATCTATATCTGCTATTTTGATAATTTCACTTATTTTATCTGTTAGCTCAAAATGCATTGGAATTCTAGCATCGCCTTTTTTCCTTATTAATTCAATTGTAAATGTCCATGTTTTTGCCTTATCATTACTTAGTTTAAGCAAATTTTTGGCCTTTTCAGTCAACATTTTTACCCCATAATCCTTGTTGTTTTTTGGATCACAAACAAACGTTTGTTTACCAATATTCTTATATACAAGCTTATTTTTATTGAAATTAGCAATAACAAAATTGATAGTTATACTTTCAGATGAATCAGACATGTTGTTGTTTTTCTGACCGACGGGTTTAGACATAATGCTATGTTAGTTGTATAAAAATGTTTTTAAATTGTTATTTGTATGGTGAATTTATTGTATTTTTTATGTTTTGGACAAGAAATCGCTTGTCCTTTTATATGAAATAATATGCTCTAGTAATTTCGGTTATTGCGGTTTATTAACTTTAAAAATTACGGAAAATCCGATTTGTCTATTTATAAAGTCTTTGTATTAAATATTTTTTCAGGTTTACTCCTTGTGTATTCCATGCTCAATTTTTTTGAGGAATAACGTGGTAGGAGTATTCGTTTAAAAAATTTTTAGCACAGTGCAGCAAGGCCTATAATATAATTGTTAAAAGTTTTTACAGGATGCATTCAACACGCTATGTTTCTATGCAATATTGTAGTCGGAATATCTGTATAATACTTATTAGCACGGTGCAACAATGCCTACAATAATAATGTTATAAAAAAGATTATTTACAGTATATTTTGTTTTGTGCAATAATGTGGTCGGAATATCCGCAACAAATAATATTTTGCTTGACATCTTAGGG